CGAGGGGAGGAGGGTCCGGTTGGGCACAGGCAATCGATGCCCTCTGCTACCAAGTCTAGTTCATTCGTAACTGCAGCGGACGTCTCAGCTGCTGATCCCGTCCTCTCAGGGGTCGGTCACCTTAATATTGTGTGACCAGGACCATCCCAACAGCATCTGGCCCGCAGGAGCAAGGGTTTGAATAATTAAAATCCCATTCGTCGGTTTATTAAAAATCCCAATATTGACTCGGGGTCGGGCCGCCGGGCTAGGAGCGAGGGCTCTGAGCGTCTCGCGAAAGCCCCGGTCCGGCCGGGCCCTGTGATCTCCGGAGGGCTCTGGGTCCCCAGGCTCTCCTGCCCTGGGGTCCTGTTCCTCTTTAGCCTCCTCCGCGACAGGCGTTGAGGGACTAGAGAGAGAGAAAGTTCTTACCTGACATGTTTGTAAGCCTATCAAATCCTATTTTACAGGATCTTAAGAAAACCAAGGTGTTTTAAAATGTCATTTCTTCAGATGCGTTGGGCTGAATTCCGGCCCTGCACGTAGATTCTAGGAGTTACGTCCCAGAAATCAGAGCGCATTCGTGGAGATGTGGCTAGTTCTGTGAGACAGATGGAGTGCCCCAAACAGAGACCCGATCCAGGCAATCGTGGGTACACGAAGGCAGGCCGCTGGCTGCGGGTCTCCAGGTAATGATGGGGGCCCCAGACAGGACCGATTTGGTTTCCGCTGAAGTGGGTACAGGATAGAAGTAAGTTTATGATGCAGATGCTTGAACCCCTTAGCATGAGATTATAATACAGAGAGAGATCATTTCCCCTTGCTTGGTCACAGTTTGCAATGCACACGGGAGGTTTCGGTTGTCTTTTTTCCCCCGACACGTCATGGACACCCCCTCCACCGCTCAGAGTAGCCAAATCTGAGTTCCTCTGGACGATTCTCCACAGCAAATGAAGTCAGCGGTTCCTCCATTCGGGATTTCCATCCGTTGGTTACAGGGCTGGAAATAGGGGAGTTCCCATCCTCCTCGCGCAGTGGCTGCGGCCGCTCCTCTTTATTCTACTCTCTGCCGAGGCCCGCGCCCGTCCCGGGGAGCGGCTCTGCCAGGAAGGCGACCCGACCCGTGCCTGGCTCCCAGTCGGCGTCCGAGCCCAGGGTCTCCACTCCTAGTCCTCTCCCAGACGAAAGACCCGAACAGCCAGGCGGAGTGTTAGTGCCCACCGCGCAGCAGCTCGTCCCGGCACTTGCAAAATGGTCAGTGGCTCCTGCTCGGCCAGGCTGAGTGTGTGCGTGTGTGTGAGCAAGGGAACGAGGGTGTGCGGTGCGCGGGGGGTGCGCTGTGTGTGCGCGCGTCTCCTGGAAGGTCTCGCGGCGGCTGGAGCCGGGACTG